ATGAGTAGCGCTGCTCTGAACTCTATGGGTTTTAAAGAGAAGTATTTTCTCTTGCCAGCTCAAGATAGCTGACACTCCCTTCAGCATTTAAACGTCCTGCTTAGAATGAGTGTCTACATGTTCACGCTCCCGTGGTCGGAAAGTTTTGCTGTAAGTCTAGCCTGCGTTCCTCCTGCTGCAGAGTCTCCTTCCTGGGTTGTCTCTTAGCCCCAGTAAAGCCACAGTCACATGATGGGCTGTGGCAGCGTTGCCATCTCTGCATTTCACTGGCCTGCTGGATGGGCTGCGTTCAGGCAAAAATAGCCCTCTATGCTTTCTATAGTGACAAGTATGGGTTTAACAGAGTGTTTTTCCAAGAACGAGGGCTCTCTCTCCCCTTTCTATCCAGATGAGCAGGGACTGTCCTTAAATCCTGTTAGCACAGGGCAACCCCCTAGCCATCCTCGTCTCCCACCCCCGTCGCTTACCCACCGTGGTCTGAGGAATGGTTTTTCCCTCCCCTTCCTCAGCAGCCGCCAGCATATCCACAGCAGTTTGTGCTGAATGTGGAATGCTGCCAATTAAAAAAAAAATCTTTATGTGTGTATGTGCACGTCAGCACTTAATTTGGTGGTGAAAATGCCACCCACCACCCTGGCACCAATGTGGGGGGTCACTTCCCCAATTCAGTCACCCAGCCCCGTGCTGGGCAGGGCACAGAGGTCCTCTGTCTGGGGGTCTGAAATCAAACTGTCCCCCTGCCCCCAGTGCTTTCCACCTCTCTGGAGGGGCCTCTGCGATAAGGCCGGCGTCAGGGTCCAGCCTTGCTCAGCTGTAGCCAACTTTAAGCGCCAGCGACCTTGGATTTGTTTGAACCACATTTTTGGCTCCTTCTGAAGGGAAACTTTTGTTTCCTTGTTGAATTAATCAGGTCACTTTTAGAACACCCAGGCTGAAGGGCGAGTGTTCGGTCTGAGGGGATTCTTTCTCTTCGGGATGGAGAGGGAAGGTGTAGCAGGAGCTACGCTTGGGCTGGTGAGAGACTGACCCCTCCCCAGGGATATTCGTTATATTATTTCTAGGAGTCTTTTTTTTTTCTTCCTGGGTTTGTTTTGGTGGCAAAGAGATTTACAAAGTGGTTCATTAACCTTTGTGCCTGGAAGGTATAGAACATTTTTATTTTCTCTGGTTTCTTTATTAGGAACCCGAAACCTACTGTGGTTTTCAATGGGGAACATTTGTGCCTCCCAGGGACCCTTGGCAGTGTCTGGAGACACGTGCAGTTGTCATACCTGGCAGGGTTGGGGTGCACTTCTGGCATTTAGTGGGGAGAGACCAGGGATGCTGCTCAATTCCCTGCCATGCACAGGACGCCCCCTCCGCCCCCCACTGCAGAGAGTCATCCAGCCCACGATGGCAGTGGTGCCGAGGGTGGGAAACCCTCCCTGCTTCACACCCCTCAGGTTCTTGCCTTGTCAAGATGGGATAAAGAACTTTATTCCAGCAGTGTGGCTGCTCTTCAGAACCTTACTCCGGCCATCTCTCAACCTTGTGACTAATTGTTTTTCCCTTTTTCCGATTTTTGCTGAATTTTTTTTTTCACCTGATTGTAAAATCAGTATGTGCTTCTTATAGACAATTGGAACCTATAGAAAAGCACCAAGAATCAGCAAAAAGAACATCCTTCCACTCTCCCACCACCCAGAGGGCAGCTGTGTCGGCATCTGGCCTCTTTCCCACCTGTCTTCCTAGTCCAGGACTTGTTCCTCGAGCAGAGTAGGACCCTAGGGTGCACTTTTTTGCCATCCTTTCTCCTGTCCCTCTTTTTCTTTCTTTTCCTAATATCGGGTCACAGGCGCTTCCCCGTGTTGCAGAAAATCTGTCATAAATGCCGAACGGCAGCTGGAGAGTCCGTCACACAGACAGCACATTCCTCCCCGCTGTCCTCAGTGTCCGTATTTCTTCCCCTTTTGAGTATGAAGAACTTGCAGGGCCGAGGCGGGAGGATAGGGTCGGGTGATGTAGCCGGTCAATTCCGTTTTTGGTCAAAAACCCGGCGTTGACTGTAAAGCAGTGACTTGAATTCTTCCCTCAAGGGAGGCTGGCCTGCTGGCTCTGGCCCAGGCAGAGTTCCAGAACCTTCTTGAGAATAAACAGCGAGCCTGCGAGGTGCCAGCTTTGAGGGCCAGCGGCTGGCTGAACACACAGCCCCGCGGTGCTTATGTGGTTTAAGAGCAGGGATGGTGCCTGGCTCCGCAGCACCACAGCCCCATACCCAGTGCTTAGAAGCACTCAAGGAAGTCTCGTTGGATTACGAGTTTCATGTCTTTGTTTAAATAAAAAAGAATTCTTAATTATTCTACGGCATCCTCCCTCCCCAACCCTGCATCATTAATTTTTTCCCATACCCTGGTTTATTTTTCTTTGTAGCACTTATCACTGCCTGACAGTAAATCTGGATCTATTACTTTATCATCTCTCTCTCTCCCTTGGAATTTAAGCTCCGTGAGGGCCTTTTGGTTACCTCTGTTTCTCCAGGATGGAGAATAGTACCTGGTGCATAGTAAGATACTCAGAAAATGTGTTAAATAAGTGAATGAATGAATTATACCTTGACTGTTTAAGGCCTGCCCTATATAAGCATTGGACATTAATGCAGCTGGGTACCTATCCCAGATTAGAAAGAAACAAGAGCTGATTTTACCCATTTCCCTTAGGGTTGGTTTAGAAGCCAGCTTTGCAGGTACTGGCTATGGGGTGACACCACTGTGGCCAATGTCCTGCCCCTTCTGGCTTTGGAAGTTCAGCTCTGCTTGCTCACTTGGTCATTCATTTGTTAATCCACCCATTTGCTCATCAGGTGTATAGAGAGTGCCTACTGTGCGCCACAGAGATGTCTGGTGCATGAGCCACAGTGTGGAATGGTGCCCCTTGGATTGTGCAGTGCACATCCTGTGCAACCTCACATGGCCATCTGGTGTGCCAGGTGCTGGGGGCAGAGTAATAGATAAGACCTAGGCCATGCTCTCAAGAGCTCACAGTCTGATGAGGGAGATAAACACTAAATAATCAAGGACATCATGGTGCTAAACACAGTGATGAAGACGAGCCTGGAGGGCTAGGAGAACCCTTAGAAGGGTTCCATGTCTTCCCAGCCTGGAGGGTTCAAGGTGATATCTGAGCCAAGTGACCTCCTCTTCTTTTTTCTCAGCTCCACGTGGAGCTGGCTTAGGGCAAGGTGCTCATGTCCTTGAAGAACCAGAATCTATGGGCTGGTGAGAGGCCCGTGCCGTCTCCCAGCTGGTATGCCTGCCCTGCACGCTGTAATGTTTTCTCTCTCTCCCTCCGCTGCCGGGAAAACAGGCGTAAAGACAGAAGGTCAGTTTGCATTTTTCTAGCTGTCTTTCTATGTGAACACTTACAGCGTTTAGAGAAGGAGCCGGCCCCAGGCAGTGTGCTCGTCAGGGATCCATCCAGAACGTGTGGGATGGGGACACCAGCGTACATGCAGCAGGTCCGTCAGCCGTCCTTGCCCCTCACCCTTAAGGGAACCGATTCATCCGTCCCCTCTGGGCATTTAAACGGGGGCTCAGGGTTGGGAGTTTTGCCTTGGTTCTTAACGGTTTCTCGGGTCTTGTGAATCCCCAGGCATCAGCGTGGTGAATGAGGAGGAGGAAGGTCAGTGACGGCTGGGCTGGCGTTGGCTATGCTTGCAGAATGGGGCTGGAGATGGACTTGTCCTGTTACTGCATGCCTGGGAAGGGGCCCTTGAACATCTGCATTTCCACCCCCTTCCCCCATTCATCCAGCATTTATTAAGTGCCTTGTGTGCGCCAGGCTTTGTGGTTGGCACTTGGGGATACAGTCTGAATCTCCAGAGCGCTCACTGATCAGCTGAATGACCTTGGCTAAGCCTTACTGTCTCACTGGTCAAATGACCATGACCAGCTGGCCTTGGAGATCCTGGTTGTGAAATGCCCGGCATGCAGTCGATGGACAGTGAACGGGAACAGTTTGATTACTACCATCCCACCAGTACCTCCTGGGCATGACCCAGACCCAGGCGGGCCAAGGCAGCTCAGAGTGATGAGCATCTGATGGGGCAGCTGCAGGTGGTGGGGTGCCCAGAGGAGGGATGTCTTCTAGCAGAATTTCAGCAGGAAAGGTTGTTCTGTCTCCCTCCAGTGACAGAAAAGTGTGAACTGGCCCCTGGAGGGAACCCATTTCTCCTGTCTTCCTTGACCAGCAGTGTGTGGCTGAGGGTCCAGACAGAGGCCCCTTTTGGAAGCCACAGAAGGCAACTCTGGCCACATGAACAAGGTGTTTCCAGAAGGATACCAGGGAGCTCAGAAATCAAAGGCAAAGCTGGACGAGCAGGACTTGGGCAGTGGGAACTCTGGGCATAAGACTCCTTTAGGACAGAGCAGTTGGAAAGATCTTTGGTCCTTGTGAGGCCATAGATGATTCAAAGTCCTGGGGGAGGGGTTCTGTTGGGCTGACCTTGGGCAGGTTCCCCCTCAGCTTGGGGAGTCTGGCCACCCACGCCCCTGGTCAGACAGGCCTGGGAGACTGTGGGGTGAAGGACTAAATCCCTTGCAAAGAAGGCACACGGGATGGTGCGCCACACATGCTCACGTTCTCCTCCTGGGACTCTCGGTCCCTCCTTTGAAGATGAGAATTTTCCAGCTGCCCTTGTTGGTGTATCACATGTTGGGTAATTGGGTTGAGCAGAGGAGGAGGCAGCCACGGAGGCCACTGTGGGGCCCTGCACTGAGTGGGAAGCAGGAGGAGGAGGAGGCTGAGGCTTGCAGAGGGCACCTGGGCAGAAGGCTCTCTGAAGCACCTGCTGCAGGACCCATGTCTCTGGGGGTGTTTTTTTGTTTTGTTTTGTTTTTTTGTTTTTGTGAGGGAAGGTAATTAGATTCATTTATTTATTTTTAGAGGAGGTACTGGGGATTGAACCCAGGACCTTATGCATGCTAAGCATGCGCTCTGCCACTTGAGCTGTACCCTCTCCACTGGGAGTGTTTTAAAGCATCTCCATTCCTGCGCAGAGGAAGATGGTCAAGGCCAGCCTTGGGCCCAAGTGCCGTGCATGTGTATCGGTACTGCCTGCATGTGGCTGCATGGGAAGTCCTGCTTGTTATCCCTCTTTTTTGTTCTTTTTTTTTTAATTAAAAAAAAAAGATGCTGACGTTAAAGGAAATACTGAAAACAGTGGTTCTCCATCCTGGCTGTGTTCCAGAGTTATCTGTGGGGCACATTTTAAAATGCAGGTAATGGTAAGCATCACAATGGTGTCCCATTCACCAAGGCCCGGGCACCACCTCATTTCATCCTCTGGCTAATGAGGGCAGGTGCTGTTGTTATTCCCATTTTGCAGACGTGGAAGTTGAGGCTCAGGAAGTTTCACTGCTTCCCTAGTACACACAGTGAGGAAGTGAGAGAACATTTGCCATAGGTCCCAGCTGCTTGACTGTGCTCTCAATGTGGGGCCTGGCCTCCCTGGCAGAGTTACTGCAAGGACCAGGGCCGGACACAGGGCATCCCCGGGTGATTCATCCACGGCCAAGATTGAGAGTCACCAGCTCAGAGCTCCTCCCATCCACCCTGGAATGATCCCTAGCCCCGGTTCCCTTCCTGTCTTCTGTTTCTTCCTGTGGCTGTCTCCTGAGAGAGCTTGCCTTCTTGGATTCTGCTTTAATTCATGTCACATCAGCATGTTCCCAGGGTCACTGCTGGCTATTATTTCTCCCTTCTCGTAACTTCTCTCCTGCGTCCCCTCCTCCTCTGGGGTCAGCCCCTTGGAGCCCTACATAATGCTGTTCTCTCGTGCCCTCTCACTCCTGGCACCAGAGAGCAAGGGGATCAGTGCAGAGTGAGGGGTAATAAACATGCCACTGAGTTGTTGGAAAATTAAAGGAGATAATGTATTTCAACAGCACAGTGGCTGACACTTAATAAACATCAGCCACTGTCTCTAAGGTGACGGTGATCACTGTTGATGCTGGATGGATGCTTCTTGGAACTGGGGCAGATGTCCAGCTGATGTGCCCGGTAGTGGCTGTATCAGTTGCTGAAATCCTGAAATAGTTCCTTATTACTGGGGAAATAGCCACTGCCCCAGCAGGGCCCCTGGGCCCCCGACTACAGAACCTCCCTGTGATCCGGCAACTGAAGGGTTAACTCCTGGCCCTGCTGGGGGCCTCTGGGTCTCCCGTGTCTGATGCCCTTGTCAAAACCAGTTGTTAGTTATTTTGAGTTTCACCCCTGCTTGGGATGCTTAGGGACCAGAGGACTGTGGCCTTTCCTCTGCATGGTTCACTGCCTCCTGGCACCATTAGCCAAGCTTCACGGAGCAGAGATACCATTAGCAGAGTGGATTTTACCAGTCACTGCTGGTACAGGGCACTTTCTGGGGCCCAGGGCCCTCAAGACAGTTGCAAAGCACCATCCCTGACCCAAGGGAGCTGGCCCTGATAGCTCCTGCACCCCAGCCGGAGAGCCTGTCTGGGGCCTCAGCAAAGCAGGTCTTGCTTTCTGAGCTTCCTGGCAGCCAGGTCATGTGCCGTCTCCCTGCTGGAATGACAGGATTTGGTTCCAGCTCTTGAAACCAAGATTCTGCCCCCCTTTCTCTCCTGCCAGGCTTAGCAGGTGTCAGCGGTCCCGGGAAGGAGGTGAAGCAGGTGGAGAACGGCATGCTGGTGACGGATGCTGCGGGGAAGCAACCGCTGAGGTAAGGCAGGGAGGGAGACCATTCCTGTGGCTTCTTCCCCCGGCTCCATGTTTCTGCCCCAGCCTGCAGGGAGAGGGAAGGGATGAGGGTGCCCACGGCGAGGCTCCACCTACCAAAAAAGGCCTTCAGCTCCTGCCTTCCCTCCCGAACCCTTGGGGGTACCTCAGTTCCCAGAGAGCAGAGGCCCAAAGGGGAAGCCTGGGTCCATTCCTGCCAGGTGGCACGTCTCGCACAGGCCTCGTGATTTAACTGTCCATCTGTACTCCTGACACCCAAGCTCCCTACGTGGTGTGGCTCTTCACTCAAGTCACTCAGAGGGACCTGGAATGTTCAGGCTTTAAGAACCAGCAGTTGATTCAAAGCAGTCACAGTAATAGTGACGGCTGCGTTCTGTGTGCCGTTAGGAGCCAGGCACAGCACCAAGCTCTGGACAGTCTG